AATTAATAAGATTTTTTAAAAAATTCTTAATTAAGGATATAGTAATAAGATTTTTTAATTAATACACTCTATTAAATAAAGATAAACATAGAAAGAATGTATAATTTTAAAGATCATTAACTAACTCATTAAAATGGATTTAGTTAAGCCTTATGATATTGAACCAAGACAGTATTAAATAGTAAAAAATGTTTAAACTTAAAACTAATTTTTAGCCATTAAAAATCATTATTATTATTATGTAGTTTCTTAATGTAAAATCTTAATCTGGGTCAGAAAAGCTTGTAAAATCTTAATCTATATATAGAATAATGAACACGTAAAGATTTCCGAAGACTACACCAGCCAAAGCAGATGGTCACGGACTTTTTAGAGGGCCACCATGTCAAGAGAATGAAGAAGGTGACTACATCAAACTGGTAAAAGTAAAAGGCTTCCCAATGGCCGATGGTAGTGGAACTTAAAATAATAATAATAATAATAATAATAATAATAATAATAATCTATTTTTGCCTTAGAAGCATTTTTGGAAGAGTTATGAGAATCCTTCAAAATTCATGAGATGATAATATACCAAATCACGTCAATCATTTTAATTGAATGCCACGGTTCTTCCCCCAATTAAAGAAGACGCGAGGTGTATCCTTGTCAAAATGGGGAAGAAAAAAACGTGACAGCCGGACATTATTGTTTATATATTTATATTCAAATTTTTTATTCCATCATCAAGGACTTGAACTTGATTCCTTACAATAAGTTGATTTAAAAAATATATATATAAGATCACGATAAAAACTATGTAAAGAGACAAACATTAAGTCATATTTCAAGTCATGAGATTTTTATAATTATTATGTAAACTGTAAAATAATTTAACATTAAAATTTCTTATGAGTTAGATAGTCAACCTATCTATTCATAATAAATTGATTTAATTCTTTAACCAATTCAACCAAACACTTTCGCTCATACATTTATATTTTTATATAATGTAAAATTACAAACACTTATGGCCAAAAAAAAAGTTAAAAAAAAAAAGAAAAGAAATTTGTGATTTATCAGCAAAATTCAGACCCACATTACTGTTTTTATTACAGATGGTAATATCTTGTCGAAGGCCCTGAGAGATAACCGAACGTGCAGTAACATAGCTACAGGAGAGGCGTCTTTCCATTTCATTTCCCTTCATTTTCTTTCATTTTCCCAATCCTCATCATTCAAAATATTTTATTAAATGATTTTTTTAATGATAAAATTAATGAATGACAGAAATTTAAAAAATGGAGGGAAATTGAGAGGGAAAAAAACCGGAGAAATCCCCATAGCCACTGCCTAACTTAATCAACAAAAGAAAAAAAAACAATTAATTTATGCTCAACACATAGACAGAGGTGGATCTGTCCTAGTAAGGAATTAGTCCTTACTGCTAGACCTAACTTCTTTAATATATGATAAAATATATTAGATATTAAAATGTACACTTCGAAAAAAAAAACAATTAATTTATGTCTAAAACAGAGTGTGCAACTTATAGATTTGGGACATAACCTTGCAAATTGCGACACCATGTAGGAGTGTAGTGCCTTTTTTTGGGGGGGAGGGGGTTACGATGGCATTAAACTCAATTCGGATAAGCCGTTTATATCAAAGAATTGTTGAATCAATACCCTGCTAGTCCCTGGCCAAAATAATAATAATAATATTATTATTAATATTAATAGTAATATTATAATTATAATAATAATACCCTGCTCGTCCTGTTTAGAGCCTTAGAAGGATCAATCGAATTAAATTTTATGATTTTTTTTTCTCCTGCTGAAATGATATCATTTTGAGTTTTAGTAAATAAAGAAAAAAATATCAGATAATCATTTTTGTATTCTACTTTGTTAGATTATATATTTATATATGAATATCCTGTTTATTTGAAGTCTAATGAAATTTGAATTGGGTGATTGTAAATGTTGTATTATCTGAGTCATTAAAATTTATATCAACGATTTAGATAAATTTACTTATTTATTAATTTTAAGTGAAATTTAAATTCAAAATTATTGACCTAAATTTCAACACTTTAAATAATGTAGGCACAAATGTTATTTTTACAAATTGTTATTGATATCTATATAATCAATTGTTAATCAATTTCAACGCACGCTTATTAAAAAGAAAAAGTAAATCAATTGTCATTTTATAAATTTAAAAGAAAAAAAAAGACATATTGCAAGTGCTTTTTTTTTCCCAACCGATAGATGAATATATATAGCTCAAATCTAGAATTATTGATATCTATATAGTGGATTTATTTCATAAAAATAAATAAAGTTAAATATTATAAAAACATGAAAATATTATATAAAAAAGTTTCATTCATAACTAACCTGTTAATTTGTTTGTTTGCCGTCATTACTCTCATAAGCAAAGTACATATTAAGGAACCTATCCATCATCCAATCATTGTTCTTTCAACTTTTTGTCATAATTAAAGTTGACTATAATTTTAAGGACAAAAAACTATGTTTTTCCTAACGACATTTTCTATATAAAAAGTGTGCATTCGAATAATGAAAAAAATGAAATAAATACATTGAATAAAAGTAAAAACAAAAACAAAATATATTCCCCAAAAATATCTTTCTTACTGACCTTTATTATTTGTTTGGTTTTATTAATTCTCGCAAGCAAAGTACATATTTAAGGAACCTTTCCATGGTCCAATCATTGTTTTTCAACCTTCTCTGTCATATTTGCCCCTTTCCCTTCCTATTCTGGGAAAATGATTTCTGCAGTGTTCTGAAATCTGATCCAATTCGAATATAAGTTACTTTTTAAAAATATAATCTCATTCACTTTATAAATTATTTATTAATAAAATTATTTTATTTTAAATTAAAATTTTTAAATTATTTTAAAAAGTGAGAGAGAAAGACAGAAAAAATAATATTATATAATTAACTTATTTTTTGCTTTTTACTTGAAAGTTATGTTTAAATTTCACTTACTTTTATTCTTTATATTTTTATTGTATTGATATTGATAAAGTTGATAAAAATAACTTATAAATAGAATCGAAGGAGTAATAAATAATTATTAAAACATCATTACTTACTTTTTTTTTGGTCATGCCCACGGAACAGTACTTGCCTATTTTACCTTTTTTACCAGCACTGGATAATTACATATTTAACCTTTTATACAATGTATTGACATTAACATTAACGTGCCATAAAAATTAATATAAAATGCTTTAAGTTGGAAACAATATTTAAGAAGTTTTTAAATTATTTTTTAAAAATTATAAATGATAATAAAATGTGAGTGATTAAAATATCAGTATGGTATTGACTTAATAACAGATGAAATATTCAGATAAAAATATAGTGACCATCTATACTCGTCCTGCTCAGTTGTATTTCAGACTTTATAATTAAGTTGTTTTATTGGGATACAGAAGAAGAGTACAAAAGATAACAAACAGAAGAGTACAAGAAGAAATGAAAAGAGGGAATTAAAGCAAGCAAGAGCAACCACATGATAGAAACGGAAAAAAAGAACTAAATAAAAATAAAATTGCCAAAAGTAGGAATCATGAGAATAAGGTACAACAACGTTTTGGTTCAAGACTTGGGCAGAAGGTACATCTCATCTAATACTTCTAATCTTACGAGATCACACAGTACATCGAGCTTTTTTTTTTTTTTTCCTTTTTTAAAAGGGCTAAGGTCTTATATTATTTGTGTACTTATAGTTTGTTCATAAAAAAAAATATTCATTATAATTTATGTATGCTCTAGATAAGCCAATGTAACCCGTACTTGGGGTTGGTGACTTACTTATACTCTTCATTTTTAAGCATAGAAGAAAATAATCAATTCACATGGTTTAATAAAATTCATTAAATATAATAAATATATTTGAAATTAAAAAAAATAGACTAAATTATCCCTATAATTAATTAAACAATTTTTTGGTAAAAATAGATCAATTTAGGAGGGACAATTTGGAAAAAATGTATTAAATGCCTTTTGAAACTTATAATTTTACTTATAAATAAAAATAAAGAGACACATGATAATTTCTAAAATATTGAAAATGAAGAGAGGATTAGATGAGTTAGGCATAGTATTAAAGTCAAGTTAAACTTTGATTTCAAATACTTATTATGAAGGCATTTCTAGTGAAGTGCCACTCAATCAAAAAGGCAAGTTTAAGTGACAATAGCCATTGCAATATACTCAATACTATCAATTATATCATAAGACTTCCCTCCTACAAATTCTTATAACATTAAAAGGCTTTTCCTTTCAGCTTAATTTAAGAAAACACATTGAAATTACAATACGCTACTTCTTTTTTTTTTCTATTTTCTTTCAACTTCTAAATTCGATTAAGTATAGTTGATGAAATTTGCTTGTTCAACATCAATTCTAAACTTAGGTGTTTTAGTGGAAAAGATTATTATAATAAACTTGAGATATTAGATCTAAGTTCGTGCGAATATAAAAAAATATATTTAAAAAATTATCTTTAATTAGACTTGATTATATTTGAACAAATTTTATCAAACAATCATATTAAAACAAACCTTTATCGCACAATGGGTGGGGAAATTGCCATCATGACCTTCAAACAATCCTCAAGCAATTGTTGAAGATGAAGAACCTCAAATTCCTAGAAATACTAGCAATCTACCTTGCTGAAAATTTTATCTGTCCGGGGAGGCCACGGCAGCTATCTGCGAATGCAAAGCGAGGGTGAATTTGAAAAATTTCACTCTATAAAAAGAGGAAGGTTTGTAAATTTAGAAATTTTAAAAGAAGGGTTGCAAATTCGAAAACACTATTGTCAAATCTTTCAATTTGTTTTCTGACGGTATAAATAATCTAAAATTTTTATTTTTGATTCTTTTAACTTAAATTATTAATTTTATAGCCAATTAATCAATTAACAAACAATTAATTAAATTAAAAAACAATTGCCATTTGCCTAAACCCTTCTTTTAAAATAATTTTCACCCCAGCTTCCCTAGTCCCTTGTTTCTGCCACTGGATCCTCGCCCATTTTCTGAAGGAGCTGTCTATGGCGTTTTCCGCTCTCTCGCGACTAACTACTCTTCGGCGTCACTTGACTTTGTCTGATACAAACGACGAGGTATGTTGTAATGAGTTCCTCCACATCTGTCTTCCTTTTTAACTCAAAAGTTCTTATTTTTCTTATAATTGCTCCTTGTTTGAAACACTATCACTAGACATAGGGTAACTCTGTTGATTGGGCTTTTTTTCCTTTTCTTTTGAAATCGTTCCTTAGGCTGCGGGTGGCAGTTCAATTGGAGGGTCAATCAAGATAGCTTCAGATGTGTCTGAAGCTTTATCTCTCGGGCGTCCTGTTGTCGCTCTTGAATCCACTATAATTTCACATGGTTGTCCCAAATTATATTGCATTTGAAGCTGTGTGTTTGTTTCTAATTTTTCTATTTGGCATGATTTTAGTCTCTTAAAATTTATATTGCCTTCTTCACTGTGCTTTTGCTTGTAAATTTTCTTTAACACATTTGGGTTTTGGTTTTAGGCATGTTATATTAAATTTGTTCTTGTTTGTAGGGATGCCATATCCTAAAAATGTGCAGACTGCCAAAGAGGTGGAGGCTATTGTGAGGGAGAATGGTGCAGTTCCTGCAACTATTGCAATTTTAGATGGCACACCCTGCATAGGTGTATATTATTCCTTAATTTTTAAATTAAATTATATTTTGTAATTGACTTATGAAAGTGATTTTGGCAAAGGAAGTATGATGCATTGCTCGCAGCTACCTGCATTGATTGCTGTAGTTGTGATCCGTGACAAAGATAGTGGAAGCTTTTACATGATTAGTTAACTCTTTGAAATCTGATACTGTTCACTTAAGGCAGGATGCCATGTTCACGCCATTCTCTGTTTAGAGTTTCACGGTGGTATAGTTAGTCGCTTCAGCCCCATGCTGTCCAATGAATTATGATGAAGCAGTGACTTATAGCGTTTATAGATTATAGTTGAATATATTAAGCACTGTGTTCCCTATTAAGTCTTATCTTATTTCATTTTGAAAAGCATGACATTCCTCAAAGGTTTAATTGAGTTAGTATTTTACAATTGGGGAAAAAACTAGATGCCAGGAGATTAACTAACTGGAAAATGGAATCCAATTAAAATGGTTATAGTCAAACTTTTAGGCATATGGCTGATAAGAAAGAAGCTTTGGGAATGTGTTAAGTCAGATATTTATGCTTATAACAAATAACAAACTAAAGGATAAGCTGAGGCAGAGAATTTTGGTCTTTGAACTGAATAAATCTTATCCTGCTTACTTGTCCTTTGTGATTAGGTCTAAGTACAGAAGAACTTGAAAGGCTAGCTACTCTGGGAAATAGAGCTCAGAAGACAGCTCGAAGGGACATTGCACATGTTGTTAGTGTTCTTGATATTATTACTTACCATGTTCATGTTGCCTGCCTATATTGTTGATTTCTCTTTCTTGTTCTTTTGACAGAGGTAATATATAGGTCAATGCTTGACCTTCAAAGCTCACTGTATGACCAAGAACCTTTATTATTAGTTTTAGATGTGTGTTTCCAAGTTTGTGACTGAACTGGTTTCATTTATATATATTGTGCATTTGCAGTAGCCTTAGTGAAATGAAATGAGAAAAAAATATAATCAAACAATTGAATTGCTAAGATCTTAGCTCTTCCCCCACCCTGTTTTTTGTTATTCATTATGTCATTATAAATTTGCATACTGATTTGTGCAGTTTTTAGGTTGCTAGTGGTGGAAATGGGGCTACTACTGTCTCTGCCTCCATGTTTTTGGCTTCTATGGTGATTTTCTCATTAATGATTTTCATACTTTCTTATTGTGTTATGTTTAATACCCATTACTTCTATGATGTTATTTTGGTTTCATGACTAGTATTTTTTTTAATATTTTGTACAGGTTAACATTCCTGTATTTGTTACTGGAGGAATTGGGGGAGTACATAGACATGGAGAACATAGTATGTTTTTACGTTAATAATGGGAATAGTTGCTCTGAATAATGAATGTTGTCCGCTTGTTTAATATGTTGTATGTCTGGTCTGGACCTTGTGAGTAGTAAATCAACTTACCCATGAACTATATTTAGTTATAGTCTTGTCAGCTTGAAATTCTACCAAATGGCTGGTATCTAGGTGTCTAGAATATGTGACACTCGATGAAAGCCTCAAACCAGGCTTCCTGGAGCGCTAGAATAGAGGAAATATCTAGTTTAAACCTTCAATAATCCTGGCACCTTGGACGGGAATGCTTGTGTTATCAAGCTTGGCATCCCATATACTTTAATAGAATAACTTTGTGTATATACTATATGTAAATATAATATAAAAAGAAGAGTAAGAGCGATGGAATCAAGAAAAGAAAGAACATTTGATGATTTGAAGAAAATTCAACATTTGGTAAACATTTTTTTTATCTTTCCTTTATTTCAGTAATCTTTCTAATAAATGTAATTTTTTTAGGTTTTTAGATTATTATAGAAGATTTGCATTTAATTCTAGGGTTAGTGTTAAGGCATTTAATTTCCTGAGTTTGTCTCAAGCAACAAGCATACTGATTTTTAGTTTTCTTTCGGCAGCCATGGATATTTCTTCTGATCTCACCGAGCTTGGAAGAACTCCAGTAGCAGTTATATCGGCTGGAGTAAAATCAATATTAGATATCCCCAGGACCCTGGAGTATCTGGTACCTGTTTAATTTATATTCTTGACATTATTCCCAACATCAATAATGCATCTGTGAACCATCAATATGTAGGTTATTTGATTCTCTTGATCTTGTCATAGGAAACGCAAGGAGTCTGTGTTGCAGCGTACAAGACCAATGACTTTCCTGCTTTTTTCACTGAATCTAGTGGGTGCAAGGTATCATAAACTGCATTTTGTCAAGGCTTTTGTATGCTAGTTGGAATAATGGCAATAATATTCTTATTGTATTTTCTATTTTTCCCATCTGGTGTTTAATTGCTTTGGATATTTTTATTTTAATATTATTTTGTCCTCAAGTCATCAAAATGGAATGATATTAGTTCTTGCTGCTGGTTGGATTGAGAAACATGCTGCTGTTGCAAAAGTTCAAAACCGATCCAAGAGCTCTAAACTTTTGGCTGAAATGGTTTTAACATTTTAATACATACTTCAAAGCTTCCTCAAGTCATGATTCAAGTGGAAAATGATAAATTTCAAAGGAAACGAATCACTTTCTCGTCCTTGATGGTTTCTTTCAATTTCATATTTCATTCATTAAAATTTCAATGCTGTCCCTTCTTCTTCTTCTGTGTATTAGTGCAAATTCTAATAGAACATTGACTTACATCTAACACACACTTGATCGACATCAAATGAGAATTGCTGATTAGGAGTCCAAATTACATGAAGTTCAGAATCTCCATTCCTTTTAAGCTCTACCACCCAACTCTAGTTTCAGGGACTTGGTTATCTAAAATGAATTGGCGTGCTTGATGTGACTTAACTGGTGCCATGGAAGAAGCAAACGTCTAACTTTAAGCAATATCATATCTTCTGAATTGTGGACAGAGATGGGATAGATAAGCAGAGTTTTTGAAGAGGGAATGATTATGAAGATTAAATGGAAAAGTGAATTTTTTTTTATGGAGGACTAGATTGAAAGTTCACTGATGTATGAAGAACAACCATAGAATTCTCTAACTTTTATTTCAGACAATCAATAGTATATTGTACTTTAAAATATGAGCTTTGTTGAAAATTATGTTAATTGGTCTTGACGCAATTTGCAGGTGCCTTGTCGGTTAGATTCTCCAGAAGAGTGTGCTCGTTTAATAGGTAAGAAGAACAAATATCTTTAGCTAATTTCGCAGTGTGTTTGGGAACTGTATGTAAAAAGTATTAAACACGATAGATGATAGAGCACGTAGATTTCTAACTATCATTATTTTTTGTTACTACTTAAATATCTTATAAATAAGTTCCCAGACATTACATGGAAATTCTCCTGTTCCAAACATGACCTTAGTTTTTCTGTTGTCAAATTATGCATTTTATCTTGGCATCTATTTATAATTTCTATTCTTCTACCAGAAGCAAACAGGAAGCTCAAGCTTGGAACAGGGATTTTGATAGGAGTTCCTATTCCTAAGGAACACTCTGCTTCAGGAAATATCATTGAGTCCGCCATACAAAGAGCCCTCCAGGAAGCTAGGTGCTGTTTTTACTTCTGTTTTTGTGTGTGTTTTATCAGTCCAATTCCTCTATTTCTCCTCTCTTTAGTGCTCTTTCTCTGAGCCCTTTTGCATTAAATGTGGACAGTTCTGATTCAATAATTCGTTTGACAGTTGTAAAATTATTTACGTGCTTCAAAACAAAAACATATATAAAAGTATTAAATCAGATTGTCATTGATTCTACAACTAGTGCCAATGCTTTTATATAATATCAAAACCGGACTAGGTATTAAATCAGTCAAGGTATTGGTTCACTAAACCATAGTCGAATCATGGTCAATTAAAATAATAAAATTTAAAATGTATGTATGAAAAGTAAAAATATGTTAAACAATACTTAACCATATTCTTATCTTACCTGTCAAATTTGAAGCCAATTGTACCAGTGTTATAATACGACCATCTATTGTTCATTACAAATAACGAAAATAATCAAATAGGGCATATTAATTGTTTAACCAAACCAACATAAGCTTCCATTATTAATTAAAATCATCAATGAATCATCAGATATATATATATGTATGTATGCATGCATGCATGTATGTATATAATACTAAAGAAAAACCAACTACAAGAGAAATAAAAACACAAAATAACATGATTTGGGTTATTGAGTTTTTTTTAAAATGAAAACTGGTTCTTGACCAGTTCTATCCCGGTTCACTTTTGCTCCAGTTTTGAAGTTTAACCAGACCGGACCATAGGCTGGTTCCTGGTTGAACTGGCGAATCCGGTCCATTTCTGACAACCCTGCTTTTATCGTTAATCTAGTTCTATTTTTATTTGTTGAAAGTCATGTTCTCTTGCAGGGAAAAGAACATAACAGGAAATGCTGAGACTCCCTTCTTGCTTGCCAGAGTAAGTGAGCTCACTGGAGGTGCGTCACTTGCCTCAAGTATCCTCCCTTATTTTTAACTGAAATTTCAAAAAACAATTTCTCATTAATTAATTAATTAATAATCTGTACTTTTGAAATAACTTAACCTGAAATCACTGTTGATTATAGAGAGCATTGTCATCTTGATCTTCCAAAGGTATAACTGCCGAAAACACTCTTTGAAAGATTAAAATGAAATGTTATAATTTTGTCCAATCAAACTGAGACAAAATGTATTTTGTAAGGACTAAAAAAATTTAGATATCTCTTGTTGAGTTTCAAAGGTTAGGTCAGAATTTAAACATTGGATTTTATGATATGAAAAGCTTAACCATATTAGATATGGCACTTGTGAAGAATAATGCTCTCTTTGGAGCTAAAGTTGCTGTGGCCCTTGCTCACCTCAGGCAACATTCTCAGTGAATAGAGATGATCTCATAAAGTGATTTGTCTTTGTAAACTACTCATGTTCCCTCACTAGATGATACAAGTTTTTTCTTTTTTGTTCTTCTTCTTTTTAAATGATGATAAATAAATGATTTGTAATTTACTTTTTATGGGTTCTTTTTTTGTGGGTGTGGGAGGGGTTAATTCGGGTTAGAATAACATTCAAGTTTTTATTTATCATATTCAGTTACAAGCTGTGTCAGGTGTTCGCCCCCCCCCCCCAAAAAAAAAAAACAAGTTGGATCAATAAAGCTAATTACTCTATAATTAATTAAAGTATTGAACCTCTGACTTATTTTACGACTCTTTCTGGTCTAACCTAGTACAAAGCATTACTCATCAATAATGCACATCTATGCGACATATATATTATATTTCATGAAAGCAAAATATAAAAGTGCAGTCGAATCTAGGCCTACCTAACTCTCTATATACCTAGTTTAAAGTATAATATCAATCCAATTAATTAATTGTTCCTGATTGATTGAAAACATGAGGTAGCAAGTAATTGCAACTAGGAATAATTCTGATTAAAGCATGTCTTACATGCAGGTTTAGTTAGAAGGGTAACGTTACTCCTATCCTATGAGTTCTTTTTTTTTTTTTTTTTTTAGGGTTCACTGGTCTACTTCATAGCTTGGTAGTGGGAAATGAACAAGGAATGATATAAGGAGAATCACAAATAAATCCTTTCAAAATAGGGGAATAATAATTTACTCTCATGAAATATGATAATGTCTTTCAAGTCTTAAGGGGCTTAATTTTCATTAAAATTTTTGATGAAATGATAATAATATCCCTTAAAATCACAAAACTTTGATGGTTTGTTCCCAAAGCTGACACCTCCTGATTGCCTAAGCGTTTGACAATTTTATAACTCAGCTGGTGAATGATCTCTAGTCCTTTCCGATTGACGACCAAAAGTAAGCAGCCATGGAGATTAGACCACTGGCCAAGAACTAGCAGGAAAATCGCATTAAAATTGCCAAAGCCCTTTTGAAAAATTAAAAAATTGCCCTTGCTCTTATTCCTTGTTCTTCCATTTCTTCTTTATATTCATATCATCTCATCAAAATTTCTCTTCTTCAAAAGGTGGTTCATTCAATTCTCAAAAAGAAGGATCCACAAGAAATGTGGGAACACTACAGTGATATCTTCATTAGTCAAAAGAAATTTGTCTCCATTAGTAGAGCCAGGAAAATGAGATGAGCTTATAGAGCCAGCTTGTTTAAGCCTGATAATTGTTAGGGTTAGGCTTGAGCTTTTCAAAAAAAACGTGAGTTTATAAGGGCCATCCTTAATAAGTCGAGGACCTAAATGGGCTAGCCCTAAAAGGCCGAGGGCTAGCTCGTTTAGGCCCATTTATTTATTTATATTTTAAAATATTATTTATTATCATAATATTATTGATATTCTTGACAATGTTTTAAATATCTAATTGTTATTGTAGTTTTTTTATAATTAAAATTTACATAATACTTTGGTTTGTTTAATATTTTTTGGATAAAGTTTGGTTTGTTTAATTCTAGACCATGATTTATGTGGAAAAAAAAGTAGTTGTTTGATCTAGATTCTAGAAAATAATTTGATTCATGTTATGTATGTTTGTTAATATTTCTAAATTATATTTTTCAATAATAGAGTATTTTTATATTTATTTAATTTTGTATTGTATGACTTGAATTAGGGATTTATAAATTTTAATGTTTTATTATTTGAAATAAGGGAATTTTTGCATAATCAAGATAATGTTGATATTAAGAATTAAAATGTTATCTATATGATTTGACATTAGAGTAAGATTTTATGTTGAAGTGAAATGAATAATTTATTTTTTAATTTAAAAAATTAAAAAAAAAAGTAAAAATGTTTGAAGTTCGTAGGGCCAGCCCTAAGTCCGTTATGCTTAGGGCTAGGCTTTAGATGTAAGCCTTTAAAAAAATATTTAGGTTTAAACAAACTGACTTTTGTGGGCCTGAGTCTATCAAAAGTTGAACCAACTCATTTTTCTAACTCTATTCACTGGTATTATTAGAAGATGAAAAAAATGAAAAGGGTTCATATTCTCAATAATATTTGATAGAAATTGTTTATGTGGGGAGGGATTCGTAATGGACCAAAAAACTGACACAAGAAGAAGGAGATTGCCATAAAGCCTCATGCGGCCGTTTGAATGGTGTTTGAGATGGAGGAGGCCGAGAAATGTGTTAGGCAGAGTAGACATGGGAGCTAGTGAAGGATGCCTTGACGGAGCTGTACTCCCTTTGTTTGGTGTAGGACAACAAAATAATGGTGGTGTAGGTAGGACACTTAGATCCTTTAAAACTTAAAAGATATTATTACATTTTATGAAATTAAATTATTTTTTTTTTATTTCAGAAGGATTTATTTATCATTCTCCCATAATTAAATCTGTAGAAATTTTATAAATTCTAAATCAAAATTCAAAGGTCAGAATTATTTTTTAAAATTCAAAATAATTATTATATTTGAAAAAATTATCAATAAGTTTTTAAAAATTAATGTCATAATAGAACAGAATATATTCATTTTACTTTCGTAATTTTTTTTATTTCATTTTTGGGTAGCGCTGTGGATATATTTTGATATCTGTGCATTCTGGTCGCTGGTGAATCTAAAAAACGTTATAATATTAATGATGTTTTCATAACTTGAAAAATTCGTCAGACCAAAAGAGCAATAATTTTATTTATGAAAAGAGAGCAATCATTTTGATTCTTTTTTTTTTATTCTTAAATTTCATTATGACGATTTTTGAAATGATTTGACATAAACTATTCACAACATATGAATCTCCATATATATATATATATATAACAAACCCACAATTTTCATGAATTGATTTCTTATAAGATGCTCTGACATTTTTATTTCATCAGCTATTAAAGGTTAAGGATCAGACTCGCCACCTGAATTTTTTAGTTATGAATAAATAGTAAATCAAACTTAATCTTGATATATAGCCAAGAGGAATCTGGAGAAATAATCAAAATGTACAGTAATGTAATTAATTAATAGCTTAATCTTGAGAATAATGGGGGCAATTTATTTGGTGGAATGACAAATCCAAAAAGAATAATAAGCGTTTTTTTTTTTTCTGGCCAAAGAAGAATGCTCAGTGTTTAATTAAGGATGTAATTACAATTGCGCTCGACAAGCGGATCAGAGGATGAGGCTGACATTTCAAAGAATAGCCAATTCGTGGATGCATATTATACAAGAACAATTAATCTCCTATTATTTTCCGATTTGTTCCACGTGTGTTAAAAAAATTTTTGTGCACGTGTAACAATAATACATTTTGCCTTGCATTATATAAAATTTGAGAAATGAGATGCTCTATTATTGTGTGAATAATACAACTATACTATGTTTTACGTGATATTTCAGGAATAAATCGTTTCAACAGAAACAACAATTCAGGGCAGCTTTTTGTCCAATTGAATCCCCTTTTGTTAGATTATAAATTAAGATACTTTTTAGTTAATTTTGATTTCCAGTTAATTCGCCTTGACAAAACGAATACAAAAACAAAGTAAATGAAAGAAAATTTTCCAAGTCACAAAACTCCATAGCAGCTTTGTTTTACTTATGAATTAAAGGCTAGATATAGTTTGGCAAGAGCGAAGAGAATAGATGAAGTCAAATTGTTCTTTTATTCTCTGATTTTGTCTTGTCTCCAACTGGCTTGATGATTAACTTATAGCAGAATATATATCTTTTTGAATTCAACTTGATCTTCTATATCTCTTAATCGGAGTGCCCAATTATTCCACACCAATTTTGTGGTTCTAAATTAGTCTATCAGCTGGCAGACCAAAACTTCCAAAGACTATATATAACTAGCCAAACCAAAAAATGGTCCGCTGCTACAAAATGTACAATTTTTACACCGTTCTATAATCAGTGTAAAAAGATAAAAAGTGTTTATAAGACCAGTGAAAAAAGTGCTTAAAAAAAAAGGAAAAATGGTAGGCACTTTCTACACCACTTCTTCCAAATAACTGGTTATTTAATAAATAATCAGTGTAGAAAGCCAAACAACTTAAATTTTTTGGTTTTTAAAAAATAATAGAAAACTTCCTACACCAGTTCATAAGAGAACTCGTGTAAAAAGTTAGAAAAAAGTTCATTTAATTATAAAAATGTCACCATGCACATTTTTTATGCACCAGTTCTTTTTTAACTAGTGTAAAAAAACCAGTCTAAATTAAAAAAAGTTTTCCCCCTTTTTTTGCAGCAGTGTCCTCTTACCTTCAAATGGTATTTATTTTCCAGAAAATAAAAAAATCTAGGGCTACGAGAAAAATTAAAAATTTTATTTAAATTCTAAATTAAACCCAAATAGTGTCAAATTCTTAATGATGAAAGAAAGTCACCCACGGAAATTGAACCCAACAGGAAATATTTGCGTATTATGTTTGAACATAAATCAGGGAAGTGACATTACACTATCTTCATAGAAAGATGCAAATCCCAAATAATGGACTCATCAATCATTTGCATACAATATTAGATATAGGTCTCTTTCTAGGTAGCTAGATAGCTTCGTCTCATGATAATTCTGATCATTATCAAGCTAACCCGGCCACCTCCAAATAAAGCATTCAAGTGGGTTTTGATCAGCCAAGTCAGATAATGATATATATTTCTCTAAAAAACCATACCTACAGCTACAATATGGAACCTCTAGTAGTTTAACCATGATCATAGATTCTATATTATATACAACAAGGGAGAGAGATCAGAGAGAGACCACTCAATCATGTCTTGGTTCTTGTTTAAAGAACATAGAAGAAGGGATCAGGTCTTGGAGGAGGCCATCGTCATGGTGATCAGGAAGTGAAGATGGAAGCTGATGATGATGATACTGAATAGAATTAGGATTAGCATAGTTGTGTGAGTAATAAAGAGAACTGTTATTATTTATATTGGAGGAGCCTCCATGAGTGCTGTGGAGAAGAAGCAAGTCTTGAGGTGAAGCCATGGATGGGATCATCATGGTCAGAGGAGAGAGAACGGAGGAAGAGGACGAGGAAGAAGACGATAACGAGGGTGTGAACATAGCAGCAGCAGAATTATAATTGCCTCTCAAAGAAGTGGGGACAGGATGATTGTGCTGACCTTCGTACGTTGTTATCACTGTCGTTGGATCCTCAAACGACCTTTCCACTCGTTTCTTCACCGTGCATTTCTGTGTCGTGCACCTGTAGTAACTCCTACCATAATAATCCTAATCATTATATTTAATTGTTAAATATTCCGAGTTTTCCACCCAGTGATTCTGTTAAATGTGATATGATTATAAATCATAATCCCAGCCATATGTAAAAAACACTTGAACTGAATCTTACCCAAGTCTACATTATTTTATACATGTGTTAAACACTTGTATTTGATTCTGTCATATCAAAGCAGTGTGAATATGCCTACATTAATTTTCGGCTGTTACGCAATTCCTAGTTTCACATTTGTTCAGATTATTCCATTATATCAAGTACACACACACATATGTGATCCCCTAAGAAGCACTCTAATACTCTATATATCAGTTGGGCTGAATCTGAACGTATCATAGTTTCCATTTTATCTCTAGGGGACGAAATTAAGCATATTTTTATCTCAGTCTTGCATATATAATAGTAATTAGCAAGCAAGAAGATTTAATTTGGTGCAGAGATCAAATTAAAAGTATAAATATGTACGTACCTTGGGTAAGGGCTATTTTTGACAGCTTTCTGGCCATATTTTCTCCAACGGTATCCATCTTCAAGCTGATCAACCTCACTCTTGGTCATGAAAGCAAACCTTGGTTCCTTCTCCTTCTTCTCTCCTTTCTTCTTTCCTTTCTTCCTGCAGATTATCATGTATAAAAAGTCCAACACAGATAATTAATAGTTCATTCTTAATTCTATATTCCACTTGCACCATTTTCTCCTTAACATAATACAATATCAAGCTTTACTTTAATTTCAGTCTTATCAAACAGCGCCGATCCTGCTGTCACATATGGACACAGAGATCATTCCAGACTTGTATTGATAATGAGTTACTATTCAGAATATTAGGTCAAATCCAGTAAAGAAGAAGAAAATCTTACCCTTTCTTTGATCTTTCTGCTTCCTCTTCTCCTTTGGCTTGGCTATGATCGTCCACAGTGTTCTTGCCTGAATCTTCTTCAGCCCCATGATCAGAAGAGGAAGAGAGAGATGAGTTCTGGGTCAGTACCGGAGTTTCGCCCCCTCGGCTACCCCCGCCGCAGTCTGCATCTTCCGATGGCTTTTGAGTTTGATCAGCGGACGAAGTTAATATTGTGGAAGGAGACAGAGCAAAAGAAGAAGCAAATGAATTGTAGTCCATGGCTCCCATTTGCAGACACTCAGTGAAGCTCATGTAAGAAGGATCAAAAGCTTGCGAATCATAAGACGATGAGTACATGGTTGATCGGCCTTGGTCGTAGAGTTCCTTGTGCTCATCAGACATGAAGGATCAGGAGGAGAAGATCGAAGAAGATGAAGGAGAAAGAGAAAGAGAGAAGAAGATGAAAACGATAAGAGTAATTACCCGTACCTTTCAAGTTATTTTGGTATAGTGTGTGTATATTTATATAAAAGTGAGAGAGAAAAGATCTTTGGGCTTGAAGTTTGAACACGGAAGAGGGAGAGAGAGAGAGAGAGATGGCAATGTGGAGCTCTTATAACAAAATAGAGGTTGACAAATTAGGTTCCACTTACTGTGAGAAGACTAAAAAAAATGTGCTGTCTCAAAGGGAGACATTTTCCACTTCATTAATTGCTACTTCAATTAAGGAGACTGACCTATCATATTTTATTTTATTTATTTTCACTAATAAGTATTTAATTAATTGGGTCATTTGGGTGCTTTTCAATAAGAATTAAAGTAAAAGACTGCACCCAAAATAAGTAACAATACCACAATTAATTATGTCCATTAAATTCTACACTTCAATTTTTAATATATGAACATTTCAATTCTCCATCGAAGCACTTCCTCTAGTCTTTATTATAAGATACTTTCAACAGTTTCATACATTATAAGAAAAGTTAATTTTTTTACATATAAAAAAGTGAGATCTACTTTCATTTTACTCTTAACTTTAAGTACTAATATAATTATATTAAATATTTTTATGATAACCAAGAAAGGGTAAAATTAAAAAAAAATAATTTAATTATTACAGAGTATCTTATATTTTAGATTAAAACTTATTTCTAAAAGGTGTCTTATAAATAGGATTGAAGGGAGTATATGCTATATAAATACAATTTTATAATCTTAATTTTTGAAGCATTTTTAACAAAATTACACTGACCAATGAAGTTTATTAAATATAATTTATAATCTTAATTTTTTATAAACTTTTAAAAATACCCTTTATCAATAAAAGAGAGAGAATACTTAATATATTTAAAGAGTAAAAGAATGAGGTGTGATATAATAATAATAATAATAATAATAAATGAATTTTTTTTTGCAAAACACCTTATAATAAAATACCAAATTATTTTCAAAAATTTCTTGTAAAATGGGACGGAAGGAGTATATATTGTTCATTGAGATTTTTTTTTTTGGTGTCTGTGTTGATTGAGATTAGATTTCTCGTGAAAAGGACTTTTTTTATAATGACCTGAAAATAATTTTTTTATTGTTCATGTTTGAAATATAAAACAACTATAACCATATGAATATACTTATATATATTTGAACAGAGACATAAATAGTTGACTCTTCCATGGCGAATTGGAGTCTTGCAGGGGAATATGCGTTGTGTATTATTTTTCCCTGGTTTGGTAAAGTCGTTTGAAGAATTGAAGATAAAATAAAGCCTCGGTTTTGTGGGGATATATTATATAGAAAAGTAGAGCAGAATTAGAATCATAGAATCCATCCATCCAATATTTATTAAAAAAAAAATGTAATGTAACATACGGCTTTTGGGAATCCAATTAAAATCTGTTTGAGGTCTCCAGGTTTGCATTCTTTATAAGTACCGTGGATTGGAAAAAGAAGAGTCAAAGAAAGCACATGTTGACTCTGTCTCTCTCTCTCTTCTCATGTAAATTTTCTATGCCTCTTGTTTCTAGAAACATGTACGGTTACTTTGCCAGTATTTCTACCTCAATTAATGAATGACATTCTCCCTTTTTTGGCCAAAGTGAATTATACGCTCTTTTTTTTCTTTTTTTTAAAGGGTAAAAGGATCAAATGATCAATTAAAACCGATAAAAGTTACAACTCATGAGTTAGAGAAGGTTAAGAAAAGAAAGAAGTATAATGTCGACTAATTTGTTCAATTAACAGAATTTTATTGTAGAACAAAATTTTAAAATTTTACTTGATAGTAAATACTCTTATTACAAGGTACCTCTAACTACCTCATTTGAACAAAAAAAATGTAGCTAAATTATAAACTTTGTCTAAAATATAGTCAACTTTCAATTCCATTTTTTGTTTATTTAAATAAAATTTTTCAAATTTACATCATATTCTATATCATAATTAATGAATTTGAATAGGAGTAACAATAAAAAATGTAATTAATACACCATCAAATGTCTTATATTAAAAATAATTTTTTTTAAAAGGTGCTCTATAATGGGAACAAGAGGGAGTGTATGATAAAATTGTAATATTTAATTTTTTTCCAATATATATTTTTTTATTAATTGCACTAAGTTATAGTAAATCCTAACCACAATTTATTATTGTTTTTAATTTTAGTTTTTTAGTTATCAATATTATAAATTTTCCTTTTATGCGTTTCCCCAACTATCAATAATAAATTAAATAAGAAAGATAATGTTTTTCTAATAAAGTATTATAACATGAGAAAGCATGAATCTTCTTGCAAACTAATAAAGTTTTAACTATCTTGAAGAGTGAGAAAAATATCATAACTATTAATAAGGTCACACAACAAACTAAGTTAGTAAATACAAGGATAAAATAAAAAAAAGATTCAAAACATACTAAACATCTTATATTTTGAACTAAGATAAGTTGAAAAAAAATGTCTTATAATTTAAACTGAAAGAAGCACATCAATGATCATTTCTTAAGAATCACGAAGTTAGTTAACTTTGCTCAATGCTAGTAATTAAGATAAGAGGGAGTATGCTGCTTTATTTGTTAAAAAACATCATAACTTTCAATTATAACTTTATTAATTAAAGAAGAATGATTTTTCAAGTTAAAAGATAAAATTTTAGGGAAAAAAAGTTAAAAGATAAAACTAAAAAATTATTTTATCTTTTTATTTGATATGCTACAGTCAATATTTAATATTTAAAACTTCTCTTGCCTTATTTAAAGCCACTTACAATAATCTTTAACGGACTAAAAAAAACCTTAAAACTTAATAATTTTATCTAAAAACTTAATAAATTTTAAATTTTACTTAAAACATTTAATAAATATAAAAGAAGAAACTTAAGATAAAAAATCAATAACAAGACTTATAAATATGATAAAAAATTTCTTCTTTCCTATTCTTTAACCTGCTATTTGGTTAAGTAGAAGGTGAGGGATTTTGCTTTCTCTCCTTGTTTGAATTGTAAAAATGGGTCCCTCCTCTCCCTCACTTTGGAAAAATGACATGTTTGAAAGCATAGGTTTTCATGTTTTGTAATTTACACCATCTACTTATTATACCTTGCACTCTTTTATTTTTTATATTTTAAATTTTAAATCAATTTCAATCTTATAAAATTAGTTGAACCTAAGAGAGCATTATTTTTTATTTTTCTATGAAACGCCTTTTAAATTAATAAAAAACCTAATCTGGAGATCCTCATAGTTTTTTCAATTTTAAATTAGGTCCCTATCATTTATTTTGTTTTAGTTATGACCTTATAGGTTGATCAATTAGATATTTTAATTTTTGAATATTAAAATTAATAATGAACTATTAACTTTTACAAAACAAAAACACTTTTGAAGTTTATAGAAATTTTGATTTAATACCTAGGGAGAATAACAAGTAAGGACCTTATAAGAATATTAATCTTAAATCAAGATTTTTTAATATTGATATTTTCAAATTTTAGTATTCCTTCTACTATATTTCAATATCAAAGGTCCTAATTTGACACGAATGTTTTATAAGATTCTCACTTGTCATTTTTCCTAACACTTTTGGTCAAAATAAAAAAAATTGATCTGATATAATTTTTACATTTTTATTATTTTTTATGAAAATTCAATATGTATAAAAACTATTTACTCCCTACATTAAAAAATATAAAGTAAGATATTTTTTGAAAGGTTGGATGTTAAAAAATATTACTCCTTCCATTAAAAAATATAAAGTATTTTTTAAAGTTAAATATTTAAAAATATAAGGTATTTTTAATCTTTTAAGGTATAATTATTATTTTTTTAAAAGTACCTCTATTGATGAATGACTTTATATTTATTATAGGGTATTTAACAAGGATAAAAATAAAAAGATAGGGTTAGTTTGAAAATAAATAACTACTTTATTGGGGATGAGATTTAGTTAAAAATGTCTTATATTTTTAACAGAAGGAGTAAGTTTTTGTAATATTTTAAGGTGTAATTGTTGTGCTTTTTCTAAAAGTGTACATAACAAATACTTCATATTTATTTTAAAGTGAAACACTTTATTAAATAAAAGTAAACATAAAATGATGATATTAGTTTAAAAATAATTAACTATTTTATTAGGAGAGAGATTTATTTAAAAATGTATTATATTTTTAATGAAGGGAGTAGAAAAACAACCTACTTATATAAAATTTGAATTATAAATATTATTTAATTATAGGCTAAGCCGCATAAAATCCTACTAAACTTTGAAACAGTTTTATATAACTCCTCTCATCTTTAAAAATTTAAAATTAACCCCCTAACTTTTAGTTTTATTTTTAAAATCCTCTATTGTTAATTATGTTATTTTTTCATGAGGGTTAAATTGTCATTCAATTAAAAAATGTTATTAAACAAGATGCTATATTGTAGAACTATGACTAATTAATTTTTTATATTTTTGGATAGTTAAAAAATTAATAATAGCAAAAAAAAATGTTATTATCATCATGTAAAATTTTAAATATTTACTTTTGTGTTAGTTTTATCTCTTTTTTTTGTTATTAATGGTGCATAGTTTTCTAATATTAAAAGATAAATTAACCTAACATGATAATATTTAAAATTGTAAATATTTAGCCATGTGCATTACATTAATCTAACATGAAAATATAAATACAAATTTATCTTTTAAAACAATAAAATCATGCATCATTTATAACAAAAAAATGGATAAAACTACTATAAACATAAATATTTAAAATTTTATATAGTGATAATAATATTTTTTTTGTTATTAGTGTTCTCAAATATCTAAAAAATATGATAAATTTATTATAAATAATTATATAATATAATATTTTTTTAATAATATTTTTTAGTTGAATAACATTTTAACCCTCATAAAAAAATAACATAATTAATAATAATGAGAGTTTTGAAAACAAAATTAAAGATTAGGGGGGTTGATTTTAAATTTTTAAAAGTGAGAGAGGTTATATACAACTGTATTAA